CTATTGGACTCCATCCGAAGCCATTAGAATACATGGAAACAAAGTAAACAGACGAAGAATTGGCCCTAGAATTTTTGAAAACAAAGAAAAAAGAAATCTCGGAGATTGAGAGCCTGGTGGGCCCCGATGAACTTTTGAGTATCTGAATGAGTTCTGCGGTTTATACGGTAGAATAAGATCCATCAAGATTTAGGTGTTCCTGATTGGTTTCAGATTATTATGATGCTTGTTAATTTTTGCTGTATTCTTCTGGATTTCAAAAGATTGTACTAGATAGTGTTGAATTTTTGCTAGAGAAAAGCTCAAGTCTTTTTGAGCTAGATTTCTGACATAAGCAGCAACAGCGCTGCACAGGTTCACCATTTTTTCCGGGGAAAATGCGAAAAACGGAAAAAAGTGTGTACCCATAAAATTTTAAGATGCCGACAGAATTTTAATTGAGATTTAATCAAGATCGTAACAGTTTATTGCTATTTCCCAATCATATATCGTCGAAGAAGCTGCTAAATCTTGAGAAAACCGTGTAGTCACGGAATTTCAAGACCTCGACAAGGTTCATAACAGGATTCTATCAGTATCCTGAGCAGTTTACCAATGCAATTAAAACAAGAAATATGTTAATAGAGGGTCAAATCCTCAGAAAAACGTGTAGACACGAAATAAACACGATTCTGTTATGATTAGAACAAAATCTTAGAGAAATTCTGAGTCATTTTGTATTGACTTTATGTCAAGCTCTTCTCAGAATTTCAATGGCTTCTAATTGGAAAATATTTTCTGATTGCACCTCGCAGAACTCCACTTCGATTCTGTAAGGATGATATCCGATGGATTGTCAAAATTTTTCCAGGATTCTCTAAGCAGAAAAGAGAAATGAACGTACATTATTGATTTCTATATGTTCAGTTAAAAAACTGATTAGTTCACCGCAGTAGACTGTACCATGCTATTTAATTTAACTCAAACCTTCTGTATCTCGAATTCCTTCTGAACTATTAACTTGTATTTGAACTTTATGCAAACATAAGTTATTTGAACAAAAATTCAATATAAACTTAATCTATTGATTACTTATCATAAAATTCTAGTATGACTGGTTGATTTCAATTTGAATAAAAAGATATTTTTCTGATTAGCACGAATAAATAAAATCCAGTACAAGTTTTATTGAAGTACTCGTCCTTTACTAAAAGCTTCTTTAAAAAAAAGTTAGTGCAACAGTTAAACTGATATTAAAATCTCCATTTTAATGAGTTTGCAAGTTTTATATGAAAATAAAATTCAAGAAATAACTGAGTTCCATGCTGTAAATGTCATGCAGTATTGAAGATAAATATTAAAAATCTTTGACGAGAAATCTTCAAAAATTCTGTCAGATTTCTTCCATTCACTGACACATAGATACAAAGGAATATTAGAATGAAATTCAGGTACCTTCTTGATCTTCTACATTCCTGTCAGAACCGGAACAAAACACATTGCAAATTCTTCATTGTCATTTTAGTATAGTTACTGTTAAAATTTTATTTAACAAGCACAATTTAAGTTTTTGAGATTCAAAGATTCAAAAATATTCGAAGAATCTTAAATAGGAACTGTTAAGGATTTTGGTGGAAACATTTCATAATTTGATTCAAAGTCCTGAACCAGATCAGTCATAGATCTTGTTACAATCCTCAAGATCAAGCTTTAGTAGACTCTAAATGAAAATGGTAAAGATCTTCGTCTGACCTTGATATGCTTTCAGAAAGATCCTGGCCATCCTTGACTTTCTCTAGGAAGGATCCGAAATGCTTGTCCTTGAAGAGACCCTAAGACAACCCTGGAAATATTCAGAAAAGATATTCGTAAGAAGAATGCTTAAGAAAATTAGATAGAATCGTGATTGAATCTTAGCAGAATTCACTACCTGAGGATTTTCATTGCTCTTCTATAAATTCCTTGTAGGAGATTTGCCTTATTTAACTGTAAGCCAGGAGAGGACCATGACGCAGAGATCCCAAACGAATTCTGTCAAAACTATAATCGAATCTAAGCGATATTCTTTCTGTAATCCCTATCAAGGTTTTGAATAAGATCAAGGGTGAATCCTAGTACGGTCCATCATGTTAAAATAATAAAGAAATCTGAGTGGCAACTTGAAAAGATCCTGAGAAGAATATTTTTTTCACAATGAAATATCCTGCAAACCAGTATTATTAAAATTGGAAACGAAATCCTGAATAAAATATGGCATGAATCTTCAGATTCAGGAACCCAAAATGTTCTTTCACACTTTCTCAAGGAAAAACAGGATTAAGATTAAAGTAGAGGGTTGCTCTAAGTTCTGACATCCTTAGTTTGACGGAGAAAAGCGGATTCTAGAGTCCTAAGAGATTTTAGAATATATTTCTAGAAGTGTGCCAAAAGCGGTCACAGATTACCGCCATTGGCTATAATTCAACACAATCCATTACAATTGATCAGAGATAACTAGAATGCAATAGAAATCATCATGTATTACAATAATATCAAACCGATCGAGGAAGCGTAAATCTTGATGGATCAAAAAAATGCGCAGAATCCATGATGATATGCCAAAATTTAGACATAATCATCTCGGTATCCTGGATCTTTTTTTCTCTTTACTTAGTTACAAATTCTGAAGTCACTATTCCCTTTTCTCACTTAATTTATTTGGACCTTAAAGAATTCTCATATCCCTTAAGATCAACTTTTCCATCCTCGTTTCTGTACGCTTGAAATAATTTATTCTACAATTCATCAGGTTCCACTATCATCCATTAGGATCCATCAGGATCCACCAGGATCCATCAGGATCCATCAGGATCTACCAGGATCCAATAGGATCTACCAGGATCCATCAGGATCCATCAGGATCCACCAGGATCCACAGGATCCACCAGGATCCAGTAGGATCCAATAGGATCCACCAGGATCCACAGGATCCACCAGGATCCGAGGATCCAGGATCCGCTTTTTCCCCCTTGGTCTTCCTAGAACTGTCAGAATAGACTCCTTCTCGAAAGAGCTGATTGGTTAAGTCACGAATAAAACGTATAGACTTTTCCATATCAAATCAATAATTGAAAGCATCAGGTACTCGATCCGACCCATCCCATAGAAAAAACTACGACTAGCTTCAACAATACTACTTATTCATAGCATCAGATACGTTAACAAGCACGTAAATCCACTCATATCAAAACGCTAAGCGAAGCAAATAATCATCGAACTCGAGATGCATAGCAAACCGCACCAATATACACACCTTCGCCTACATTCTCATTCAAACACATATTATACATCAACAACCATACCATTAACTCTCCTCTGAAATCACAAAATCCATCAATAACGACCGACTCAACAATTAGAGGCTGCCAATGATGATGATTATATGAGCTAATCCAAGAACACAATTCAATTCAGGCAATTCAATTATGAAAGAAATACTCAAAGATCTAACAACTTGAAGAAATCCCACTATTCCAGCCAAGTCACTTACGTGAAGGCTCTACAAGAATTCAAGAAAATAGAGTACTTCGAGGATTAGAACTCATTAATGACGGGCATCGACGATCAGACAAGCAAGAAAGGAAAGCAGTACAAGTACTCCACACTATTAAATTATGTAAGGCTTCTCGCGAAACTGACAAATCCAAGAATTCCAAGGGTTCTCAAACATGTATGAATGTTACCTCCACAGACCAATGGAAGAAGCCTAAGAACTACAGGCGTTCCAAGGCATATTGGATCATATAGCAGAGAAATGAAATAATTCCCAGTCGTCCCATATATTTTCGGAAACCAAGAGTAGAAAGCGAGTAAAAAAATCTAATAATTTCAAACCAATCCGATCTTTAGGAATCTCGAGCATAATGAGGAAACTAAGCACTCACAAGACTCCAAGCCTTCCAATACATTTAGATCACTAACCACCCATAGAAATCTATGAAATTCACTAACTCAAAGGCATAGAATCCATTCGAGACAGTGCAAGATCATTGGAGCAGTAAAAAATGCAAGAAGTTCAAGATTCCCTATTCATAAGGGAACACCAAGCATTATATGCAAGCTATGAAGTCCAAGTACACGAAGCGTTCCGCTGGATATTTCACTCGGCACGGTGCCAGAAAAGTTGAGGCATCGAAAAATTCAAATCCTTCCATGGAATTTCCGTAAGTCAAAAATACCATCTAAGCGATGAGATCAAGAAATTGCAAAGATTCCACTGACTATCCAGCACTCAAAGATGGAACCGATCTGAATTTTTGACGAACAATACTGATAGCGATTTCATCTCTGTCAGCACTTACGACAGTCAAGAATGGTTGAAGACATACGAAATCAAAGAATTGCAAGCAATTTTAGGATTACATTGCACTGTGAACACTTGATAATGGTTGGGAAGCTAAGGAATCCACGGATTACAAGGATTTCCTGCAACTTACGCCAGTGAAGCATTCCCGGAAACTCAAGAAATCCAAGGATTCCATGGCTCTTGGGACAGCTAAGAATGGTCGGAAAGCTAAGAAATCCAAGGATTCTACTGCACTTGCGACACTCGCCGATGGTTATGAAACTAAGGAATCCAAAAATTCCAATGATTTCCTGCTACTTGTGCAAGTCGACCATGGTCTGAAAGAGAAAGAATCCAACGACTATGAGGATTTCATAGCATCTGCAACGGTTGAGAATGGTGGGCAGGAGAAGAAATCAAAGGTTTCCAGCGATTCTAAGGATTCAATTGTCCTTGGAACACTCAAGAATGGTGATGAAGCGAAGAAATTCAACGATTCAGTGCTACATAAGGCAGTCAAGTATGGTCTGAAAGTTAAAACATCCGAGGATTGTACCACACTTTGAATAGTCAAGACAGGTCGGGACGCAAAGAAATCCAAGAATACCAAGAATTCCGTGCAGCTTGTGGTAGTCCACGATGAACTGAAAGCTAAGGAATCGAAGCCATTCAATGGTTCCATAGCACTTCTGGTACTTCAGAATCCAAATGAAGCTAATGGATACAACGTTTCTAAGGATTCCTTAGCACTTTGAACACTCAGAATTGTTGGGAAACCTAAGAAATTCAACAATTTCATACTACTTGAGACACTCAAGGATGATCGAGAGGTTAGGGAACAAACGATCACAATTATTCTCCACCATCTTTGGCTAGTAAAGATGCTGGGAAGCTAAAGACTCCAAGAAATCCAAGGATTCCAACAATACCATAGCACTTGGAACAGTAAAGAACAGTGGGAAAGCTAAGAAATCTAAGGAATCCCGAAAACTTTCTGAAGTCAGAAGTTGTGGCAAAGCTAACCAACCGAAGGATTCCAAGGATGCCATAACACTTAGGATAGTGAGGAATGGTGGGAAAGCTAAGGAACCCAAGGATTTCAAGGATTTCCTAGCGCTCTGAACAGTCAAGAGTTATAAGAAACCAAAGAAATACCAGGATCCAAGGATTCCTTGGCACTTTAACCGATCAGGATTGGTGGTATAGTGAAGAAATCCAAGGATCTGAAGGATTTCATCACATTTTGTTCGGTTAAACTTAATACAGAAACTCAGGATTTTCAGAGAACCATTGGTTTCGCAGACATTGGCGTGTTACAGAAATCATTAAAAACCTGAAAAAACCAAGTTTCTTAATCACTTTGATTGTTTTTTAATAAATAGTATATATCGAAATTTTTCAAGGTTTCCAAGGTTTCAGAAACCTAGCGTACAAACAGTGTAGGGTCATACTGGGTTTAGTCAGATATTTTGTTGATGTTGTAAGTGGATTGTGCTAGAATTTTCAAGGAATTTAAGAATTCCTTGACATTTTCAGTGGTGGAAACTGTTTCCAGAGTGATCGTGTTTAAGAGTTCGAAGGTTTCTCATACATTTCGGAAGTGGCGCTACTAATGCAAGAAACGAGGATTTTCAGAGAACCTATAGTTTTTTGAGCGTTGGACAATATCAGGAACATCTAAATACAAGCTTTTGTAATGACTTTGATTCATTTTTAATGAACAGGATATGTTGAAATTTTTCAACGTTTCTAAGATTTCGGATTCCTTGCATACAAATGGCGTTGGGTCTTACTGAATTTGGTCAGATATTTTGTTCATTATTAGTAGAGTAAATTTTATTGCAATTTTTCAAGGATTCCTAGAATTTCGGTAGGGCACCCATTTGTATATTGTCTGGAGCGTATACCACACAAAAAAACGGTTTTCTTTGGCTTTCTAGTCCTTCACTTCTTGGATTCTATATTGAATTTTTATACCCGATGATTTCCCCAATCGATGACATAGAGATTGTCGTGTCAATCGAATGACAAATCGATGGGCTCATTGAGTTGGTTGAATTGTCCTACTCTACCTTTTCTACCAGCAATGGCACTTCCCTGTGTCGCTCCTTTGGGCCAATCCATGATTTGATCATTCCTTGTATCAGGCATATAGACAGTGTCCAATTGATCGACAACGATTCCTTTTGAATATGACAATTGTGTAAAATCATTTCCTTCTCCTTGATTACCAGTCATGGCATTGCCTTTCTTTTACATCTTCCATCCATTTCATCATATGATCATTTCCCGAATCAGACACGTATACTGAATGATTTCGATCGACGAATACGTGTTGTGGACATGGCAGTTGATCAAGACGATTTGGGTGTGAGTGTGTTATTCTCAACCCAGTGCCAACACTCACACATCCACACCGTCAGTAGAGTAGTTTACCTATATTATTCAACAGAACAACGTGATCATCATTGAAATTGATCGATGTTCAATTGTGCATGGATTAGCAGGTGTGGTGAAGAATCTCATCCACCATTCAGCATCCACACAAACATCCTTCAATGAACATAACTGCAGGTTGAACTTTTAATTTCCTACATCCAAGAAACGATCGTTTCTCTTGCACATATTGACATTATGGTATTGATAATCATCATTAACAAGCACGGAATGTAACTAATAGAAACTAATAGATGATAGTAATTTTATGATATTCATAGAGTCACACTGAACTAGGTTACTATGAAGCAAGAGTTGATTTCTAACTGCATACTATACAATTGCATTCCACGAGACAATGGCTCTTACAAAGTTCGATAAACTTGAATATTCGACGTAATAATCAATTTCATCGTTGCGATAGGTTTCATCATGACACTTGTCATTGATACAAAAAAAAATATTTTTGTGGTATGCGAGTATGGATCTAGACACTTTTCTACTACAGTCAGATCAATACTGGCAGACAATCATTCATACTCTCAACCATACACTAAGGCTTACATCATCAGGAATCCACAACCAAACCCAAACCTAACTCATCCACTTTCTCCACTCATCTTTCACACTTACAAACATTTGAATATTTCAACTATGATTCTATTAAATATAAGAGCATACGAAATAAATAAGTGATAGAAAAATATAAAGTACAAGATAAAATTATTAACAAGTCTGCAAGAGGATATTTAAACTGTCAGTACCATTATTGGCGACGGCAAAATCTAGTTTTTTATCATTATTGAAATCTCCAATGGCAATGAAGAATGGATTGGAACCATAGTCCAACTGAACTAGCATAATGCTTTCGAACGTCCCGTCGCCATGTCCAAGAAGTACATCTAGATAATTGGCATCATAATTCGCGACGACAATGTCTTGTATAGTGTCGTTATTAATGTCATTTACAGCTAAAGAGTATCGAGACGAACTTGAGCTTGTTGAATACATCATTTGATTTCCAAAAGAACCATTCCCATATCCAAGAATAATACCAATACTGTTCGACTTACAACTAACAAAGACGATATCCACTCGACTATCATTGTTGAATTCACCGACAGTCATAGAGCATGGAGATAAATATGGATGTGTTGAATATGTCATTTGATTTGCAAAAGAGATATTTCCATATCCAAGAAAAATATCAATATTGTGAGTGCGTGAATTAATGACGCCAATATCCATTAGATCATCATTGTTAAAATCGCTAATCACTAACCACTGTGGTTGGGAACCGTTTCCAGTTACTAGTACCATTTGCTTTACAAAAACTATATTGTCATAGCCAACAAGGACACTTACATCATCGCTATAGTAATTGGCGACAACGATATCTAGTCGAGTGTCGTTGTTAACATCACCAATAGCTACAAATAATGGACTATAGCCAGCTGAATACCTTGTTTGATTTTCAAAAGAACCGTTTCCATATCCAAGAAGGACACTTACATCATTGCTACCCACATTGGCAACAACGATATCTAGTCGAGTGTCATTGTTGACATCACCAACAGCTACCGAGAATGGCGAAGCGCCAACTGAATACTTTGTTTGATTTTCAAAAGAACCGTTTCCATATCCAAGAAGGACACTCACATCATCGCTCCACGAATTGGCGACAACGATATCTAGTCGAGTGTCGTTGTCGACATCACCAATAGCTACAGATCGTGGATGAGAGCCAACTGAATACCTTGTTTGATTTTCAAAAGAACCATTCCCATATCCAAGAAGGATACTCACATCATTGCTACCCCAATTGGCGACAACGATATCTAGTCGAGTGTCATTGTTGACATCACCAATAGATACAGATTGTGGATTAGAGCCAGCTGAATACCTTGTTTGATTTTCAAAAGAACCGTTTCCATATCCAAGAAGAACACTCACATCATTGCTATCCCCATTGGCGACAACGATATCTAGTCGAGTGTCATTGTTGACATCACCAATAGCTACAGATCGTGGAGAAGAGCCAACTGAATACCTTGTTTGATTTTCAAAAGAACCGTTTCCATATCCAAGAAGGACACTCACATCATTGCTATACGAATTGGCAACAACGATATCTAGTCGAGTGTCATTGTTGACATCACCAATAGCTACAGAAAATGGATAAGTGCCAACTGAATACCTTGTTTGATTTTCAAAAGAACCATTTCCATATCCAAGAAGGACACTCACATCATCGCTACGCAAATTGGCGACAACAATATCTAGTCGAGTGTCATTGTTGACATCACCAATAGCTACAGATCGTGGATTAGAGCCAACTGAATACTTTGTTTGAGTTTCAAAAGAACCATGATTATACGCAACAAAAATATCTACATGATCACGTCCATCGTAAGCGACAGCGATCTCCGATCGTGAGTCATTATTAAAATCACCAGAAGCCATAACTAACGGAGGTGTATCAAAGCTAATTTCATAACTTGTTTGAATTGCAAATTTTCCCTGCCCATTTCCAAGCATCATATCTACATGCTTTGTACCATGATTGGCCACAGCAATATCCACTTCACGGTCACCATTGAAGTCTCCAACTGCGATAGAAATCGGATGAGAATTCATGCCAGTGCTGAGCAACATTTGATTTTCAAAACTACCATTCCCATATCCAGAAAGAACACCTACGTTATTAGTACCGTAATTAGCTAAGACGATATCCAGATTAGTGTCATTGTTCAAATCACCAATGACTACACATCGTAAGCTAGAACCACCACCAGGTGCCAAGCTCATTTCATGTGTAATCGCTCCTCTGTTATATTGCAGCAGGACACCCACATCATCGCTCGGCGAATTGACAACAACGATATCTAGTCGATTATCGTTGTTGACATCCCCAATAGCTGCAGATAATGGATTGTAGCCAGCTGAATACCTTGTTTGATTTTCAAAAGAACCGTTTTCATATCCAAGAAGGACACGCACATCATTGCTCAACCAACTGGCGACAACGATATCCAGTCGAGTGTCGTTGTTGACATCACCAATAGCTACAGATGATGGAGAAAAGCCAGCTAAATACTTTTTTTGATTTTCAAAAGAACCATTTCCATATCCAAGAAGGACACTCACATCATCGCTACCCGAATTGGCGACAACGATATCTAGTTGACTGTCGTTGTTGACATCACCAATAGATACAAATATTGGACTAGAGCCGGCTGAATACTTTGTTTGATTTTCAAAAGAACCGTTTTCATATACAAGAAAAACACTCACATCATTGCTACCCATATTGGCAACAACGATATCTAGTCGAGTGTCATTGTTGACATCACCAATAGCTACAGAGAATGGATTGTAGCCAACTGAATACCTTGTTTGATTTTTAAAAGAACCGTTTCCATATCCAAGAAGGACACTTAGATCATTGCTACCCGAATTGGCAACAACGATATCTAGTCGAGTGTCGTTGTTGACATCACCAATAGATACAAATATTGGACTAGAGCCGGCTGAATACTTTGTTTGATTTTCAAAAGAACCATTTCCATATCCAAGAAGGACACTCACATCATTGCTATATCCATTGGCGACAACGATATCTAGTCGAGTGTCGTTGTTGACATCACCAATAGATACAGATTGTGGATAAGAGCCAACTGAATACCCTGTTTGATATTCAAAAGAACCGTTTCCATATCCAAGAAGGATACCCACATCATTGCTACCCCCATTGGCGACAACGATATCTAGTCGAGTGTCGTTGTTGACATCACCAATAGCTATAGATGTTGGATCAAAGCCAGCTGAATATCTTATTTGATTTTGAAAGCCTTCGTAACGTCCAACAAGAATATCAATGACACCAGTATCATTGTTTACAACGACAATATCTAATCGATGGTCTTTGTTGAAATCACCTACGGCAACTGAAATCGAAGAAGAAGATCCGGTTGGATACATAATTGAATTTGCAAATTTGCCGTTCCCATATCCAAGAAGTATGGCTATATTGTCAGCGCCTTGATTCGTGGTGATTATGTCCAACCGATTATCTTGATTGAAGTCTCCTACCGAAATGGCAATTGGAGAAGCAGAATTGATGGAATAGTTGACTTGATTAGCGAAAGTTTCATTACCATTATTTAGGAGCACACCTACTTTATGACTTCCAGAATTAGCGATAGCGATATCGAGAAAGTTGTCTGCATTGAAATCACCAACGACAATGGAGTATGGTTGAGAATCAATGCCAGTTGAGATGGTAATTTGCTTTGCAAAAGTGCTGTTGCTATTTCCAAAAAATATCACAATATTGTTAGTGCCATAATTGGCAATGGCGAGGTCTAAATAGTTGTCATTATTGAAATCTCCAGCAGCTATTGAGGACGGAAAAGAATCGTAACCTGTCGAATATGTAATTGGAGGCGAAAAACTTCCATTTCCATAGTGATAGAGTATACTGATACTGTGGTTTCCGTAATTGGCTATGGCAATATCAAGTAGTGAGTCATTGTTGAAATGAGCACCGATAATCGCTATTGGACGAGAAGAGCCTGTTGAAAGTTCTGTTTGATTTGCGAAAGACCCATTGCCAAATCCATGAAAGATAACGATAATATTAGTGCCAAAATTTGCTACTGCAATATCCAAGTGAGAATCACTATTGAAATAACCAACTGTGACCATGTAAGGACTTGAGTAGGAACCAGTTGAATATGGAATTGGACTTTTAAAAGTGCCATTACCATAGCCAAGATAAACAGTTATCGTGTTAACTGTATGATAGGCAATAACCATATCCAAACATGTGTCATTGTCGAAATCACCAGCGGCAACAGATCGTGGGCCATACTTGTATTCAACTGGTTTTTGAGCCGTTGGTTTGAATTTGAGCTCACATTTTTGAACTAAACAACAGATGAAAAGCAGCGTGATGACTGATTGGTTGCTCAAGTGCGGCTATCACTGTTTGATCGTATTGGATCCTTACAAGTTTTATAGTATGATGTCAGAAATTGTCGTATTACTGTATTTGTACGCAACTCAAAATCAATCATCTTTCATTAGAATTCTACTTAGTTTCTTGAAATTCAGATAGAGCTAGATGTATGCGACTATATCATGCAAGTTAATTTTCTATTTCCTTTCTTCGATTTACTCTAGAATTCGTTCAAGACGTATGTCATCTTTGAGAACGGAGAAGAACGTCAACGAATACAATATGACTGAAGAGTGTAAGAGTGTGCCAAACTGCATGATTAAATGTAATCGCTTCCACATTTTATAATCTCTTTTTCTAGCATTTACTTTGCTACACGTTTGATATGAAAGATGAAAGTTTTATATTTTTACACGCTCAAACGGTTATCAAAATTATTGTGTTAGGTAATACTTTCAGAGGTTCTATTAGTATTTTGAATCAATGATTATATTAAGAAATAGAATATAAAAATAGACAAAACTATGATAATAGAGAAAGGGATGTGAATCTACTTGCTGAGTAATCATACACGAACAGCACAATATACGAGCGAAGAGGAAGAGATAGATGACGCACTAAATGACGGCCTTCGTTGTAAATGCAGACGTTAATGGTTCGATGATAAGAACAACGAATAGTGATCGATAATTTTTGTGTGATACATGCGCAATTATTTAGTTCAACTTTTTATTTCTTACAATTACAAAACTATAACTTCGATCGACGTATTCCATCAGAAACGCTCGTACGTGTTATTTTGAGTTTTTGATTATAGATTCCCCATGTAATCTTATTTTATCTATAGAAAGTGGCTAACATATTAATAAAAAAGAACATACCAGTAGCTTTTGGTGAAGTGAAACAAACAGTCAATATACCAATACTTATTGCTATAATTGTGAATACAGCAAATGCACCTGCAGCAATTGAAGATCGATGTCGCGACCAAGGCGAAAGTTGTCTAATAAAGACATTCTATACATTATTATGATTGAACACAAAAGAAAATTATATACAAAGGTGTCGGAGTCATTGATGACTTCTTTGTTGTATTAGTAGCAGTGGCACATTTTGCTGAATTAAATTCATTTTGCGTTAAGTTTTCACGTTGTCCATTGTCAACATGAGGATGTTGTGCAGCAGGTGAATTCTCAACTGAGATACCATCATCACTCGTAGAATTTTTATTCATCTATAGTAAAAAAAACAGTATTTAGTAAAAATTAGTTTTCAGTAAGTATTCATTGTTCACTAGAATACTTTTCTATAAATTACCTTTCGAGTTATCGATAATGTCCTTTCTATGCTGAAAAGTTGCAAAGTCTTGAGAAATTAGAAAATATCTAAAATAACAGAATTAATTACATTAGTAATCATAATTTAGAATATTAAATGGTTACATGTTTGTTTTCTTTTGAAAAAATTGCTTCTTTCTTGGGTATGGATAGTCTCTTAATGAACACCAAAATAATCAGGCTATGTCAAACAAAGACAACGCTTCAAAAAGTTTCGATCTTATCCAAAAGCAAAACATAGATAGGTATTAGAAACATGAACATAGAACACTGTGAGCCATTACTCAATGAGGTATGCTTTCACAAAAGTTCTTTTTTTGTGTCAAGTTGACTCAATAGACTGAACTGTATTTGTTAATACATGTTTTTCCTTGCAACTCGTTAGTTTAAACATTTGTAAACATTCCATTGGTAACGTTTTCCTTATTGATATGTCTTGTTTGTTGATAGCTTTGGTTTCGAAATCTTTTTAGTCAGTGAAAATATACTTTATTCATTAAATGATACATTCTATTGTTGAGTATGATTTAGACGTGTTTACCAATGAATTTAAATTTTTTTGAAAGTATTTAATTATTTCTATAAGGTATTTTGTCAATTGAATCATTATCGATCGAAGACTCGGAAAGGTTTTTCATTTCATTCAATCAACTATACATAACTCTAGTAACTCGACTAAGATAGTCATGATTATGATAAGATTCAAGCTGCAGATGTGATGACTATCTAAGACCTTATTCTAGTTATGGCATATCAAAAGTAGTGGCGGTCCTATCTCAATTTCGCATAGACAGCTTGAGAAAATTTTCTTTTTATATAGACTAATAGTCAAAACAAAGCTCTATATTTCTACACTATTTGATCATTATTCATCCAATATTGTAATAATGAAATTTTCATTAGAATCGTTCAGCTACAATATGTAACAATAACAGTAAGGGGAAAATAGCAGAGGAATATTTTTAGAAGAACTTTTGATAAAAACAAGTAATGCTCGTTCATGTGACTCGCTGGATCCTCGGCTGTATATTCGGTCCTTTGGTATTTTATATTGTTTTACAGTATTCAAAACAGCTAGTATCCAACGTGTCAAAAGAACGGATGGATGTGTGTGTTGATATTAGCGTCAATCTTGTTGTGCATAATGGTATGGGGGTCCGAATGAACATTTTTGCCACAATATATCGAATCAAATCGATATTCCCATATTTATACTCAACAATAGTCTAAGGAACTACATTATGGCAGCAATATCCACATGCACCCAAAAAACAGATTATATTCAATTTTCTGAGAGGTCACGAAGCAAAACGCATTCACGACACTATTGTGAAACAGCGCCATACTGCTTGCAATTTCTACTAGAAAACTATTGGCTTACCAAAACATCAGCTGACAATATTTTTTACTGGTGTATGCGCTACAAAAATATGGGTTCAATTGAACTCCTAGCTTAAAATTAATCATACTAGATCTAGTCTTCAATCGAACTGCCATACTTGAAAGAAGCTCATACTCAAAGTAACCGTCAGATTAGATAGATAATTTGAATATATCTGTACACATTTCAACATTTGTATGAGTACAGACAAGAACACATACCAGCAGAAAAATTCCCGTTTATTTCATTTATATCTACTTCTGATACCATGAATATAAAACCTGTGACTGATGTTTTCCGCCAAATGTAGTATTAAAATATTGTGCACTTGCATAAAAAGCATTGTCACACTTTATTTCAAAATATTTGTCAGTTCTTACCAACTGCTACTCCTTATTCAAACCCATTAGGTCTAGACTGTTGATTTTTGTTTGATGAATACAAACAGCCTGAAATGTGTCTTTAAGAGATTTTTTAGTGCACCGGCTAGTCGTTCGTCGGAAACCCTTCGAGGCACTACTCATGGCTAGTCACTGTTATTTTTCATTCTATTTCTCCATAATGCCATCCTTTTTTTATTTAGACTTCATCTAATCTCAAATTCGGCTTAATTTGACAAACTATTTGATCTGTAGCACGAGAATTCTCAATGGCAATTTCTAAACCAAAGCATCATTGTGAACTATTTCTGATTTCTTCAATTTCATTCTGTAACTGGAAAATCAGAGTTTTATTGAAATTTCTTATTAAGGAAATATTAGTGAGCATTCACAAAAAAATCTAGCTTTTAAACTTATTTTTCATGAGCGAAATCTGCAGAATGGTTGCAATATGAACCGTTAGTCGTTCGTTTTACATAAGTGCACTTATCCAAACAGTTTGTCTATTGTTATTTAACATAAAAGATATGACATCATTTTTATACGTCAAATTTTTATTAGTTTCTTCGAGTTATCGCAACTGGAAATTTCACAAGTTGGAGATCCTCCAAACATACACAAGGTTAAAAACTTGGTTTTTTACATGAGTTGCCTAATTCGAATTCGAATATAAATGGAGACGTCACTGCTTATGATTACTTCGAAAATAAATGAAAAAAACGCCTTTCCTGTTGAAATAGCAAAAAGGCAAAACAAATAAGTTTATATAAATTATAAATTATAAATTTATAAATGAAAAAACACACCCATGTTGAAATAGCCAAAAAGCAAAAGAAATAATTTTCTATAAATTACAAATTTGTAAATGAAAAGGCACACTCATGTTGAAATAGCAAAAAAGCAACAGAAATCATTTTATTTGAATTATAAATTTATATATAAAAAGGCATACGCATCGTGTAACAGTAGAAAAGGAAAGTACTTATTTTGCATAACTTAATCACGTATGAGCGAAGAACGCATTAAGACAAAATTTGCCACATCTAACTAACCTTATTACTAGGCTGATATTTGGATAGATGAAAATGAAGGAAGGATTCCTCTCAGTGGAAACTAAATAGGTTTAATGTCGTCAGTGAGATGTGAAGTTCCAATTTACGATTGAAGTTCGATATCCGTGATCTAATAAAACATCTTGTCTATGGTGGCCGCCGGAATATTGTCCTTTATTTTACAAAAAAGCCATCTCATATCCTATAGCTTACGATTGCAAATCACCGATGCGCATTCAGAGTTCGATAGCTAGCAGAGAAACAGTATTCGTAGGTGCAGAAACGAGTGAAACCCCACTACTCCAAGAGCTTCAATTCAGTACGTGTATCCGGCACTTGCCTTACATCAGAAGAAAACATCCGGCAAAATTCTCCTCAAGTGGAAACAACAGCTAGCAAGATCAGCAGAAATTACTTCGACAGTTACTAAATAGTACACTGAGAAGACAACCAACCATTTTCAACTTATGCATCATGCAAAAACTGACCTAACTGTCACAGACTATCTATGGAACATTTTAGAGACTCTGGTGCAGTATTCATACAAGAAACACGTCTGTGCATTATCAGCCCTGTCAAAGGGCACACCCACACCTTTATTTAAGCCTCGGCGCGTGGTGGACCGAATGACCACCCGAAGAGCGCCGAGAGGCTGCTTCTGTGCCAACACAGATTAGAGACTTCCCCATTGGTACTATTAGAGGACGTACACAAATTGTTTCTTTTGCTTTTTTGCTATTTCAACATGGGTGTGCCTTTGCATTTATAAATTTATAATTTATACGAAATTATTTTTTTTTGTTGCTTAAACGGGTGTGTATCGTTGGATAAAGTTTTGCTTTTGCTTTTTGCCTGTCAGAACATGGAAGCCGTTTTTTTTCGTTTATATTCGAACTCGAATTAGACAGCTACTCGTTTTTAATAATAATAATAATAAAAAACAATTTAGTGACATATCCCAGTTTAAGACCTTGCCCCATCTGTGTATAGATTTCCTTAGAACATAGATATAACTATATGAAAGAAGTGGGAGAAATACGCTTTCAACATCAGTTCTATTGGAAAATTGTTAGAATATCTAGCCAATTTCTATCTATTTCTTCTATCGTTTCAAAAGACAGTGTTGTCTCTCTTTGAACATACATGACTTTTATTATGCTTTTAAAAACTGCCGAGATACGAAGATTTGACATGGGAAGCACCTCTTAGTGGAATCACAATGGTATCTTTATAACAAATACGTAAGGCTTCAAGGCGCGAATCACTTCGATCGTTTAGAGTTGTGAAGAGTATTGTTGAGGTGTTGCTAATCTGCTTGTTTTCGCAATTTTTCAAGGCATTCGAATAGTTACTTATGCACAACAAATAGCTCTAATGTCTCTTCGAATCATAGAACTCTGGTTCAAATCACCAAGATTTTCTTATAACTATCGAATAATCAGAACAGATTTCAGTAGCATATTAATTGCTATTCTTTTCATTAAATTCATGAATAGCCGCAAACGATCTGTGTTAACGAGAAAAAAGTCACTAACTTCATCACTATTTCCATAAAATTGGCAAAATTTGCCAATATTCACTTTCATTTTCTTCTTTTCATACGTTGAGACACAATCTAAAACTCACATAAACTATACTTAATTACTGGTATCATTTAAGGATAGAAAAATCTTCTGAACACTGATAGACTAAAAGAGCTTACGAGAGATACTGCAATATCAAAAGACTTACGTCTGCTTGTTGTATTAATGTGATGTATATTATAAAGACAAATGTAATACGGTGATAATGTAATGTATCGACGTTGTTTAGTAAAGAAAATGAAAGCATCATTTTGCTTATGTATACATCGAAAATACGTTTGGCGTGCGTGCATCCAACCGTATACGTGGGATAAAGCATGATCATATATTATTGAGACACACTGGATTTTTTCTCACAAAAATGTTATCGTTCTTTTGCTTGTTCTATCACCTATCGATCAGACAGCTTGAATAATGACGAAAGAGAGAGAGAACGAGTTAATCGATGGTTGAAAAAATGTGCATTATATCACGGCTCTATTTTTATTTTTCTACCTATCTTTGCATAGAATAGGTAAAATATACAGGCTTTACAAGCAACAATATGCAGCTTTATATCATTGATCACGTTAAAACCGAGTTCAATGGTCCCTTCTGCCTATGACAGAAGATATTGGTTTCTACTGCCACTTTTGGAAGCATTTCTTGTCTATACATATATTCCTCGTCAAAAATCGACATTTGGATGAAGTCTTGTCCTTAGGATCGTTTCTGATCCTCACAGAAACTGGAAAGTCACTTTCAACAGCTACCTTGGCTACCATCGTCGTGTGTATCCTTGCTTTGATTCAGATTCCTTTTCCAGTCGTTATATTCGTTTAAGTTGCAGTTCAAATCATCATTCTGCTACCTATCTCGGTGGGAAGTCAACTTCAGATAGAATCAGTTACATTATCAACTTCAACCATGATATCAAGATCTGTCAGACTGGTTCTGTTTAGTAGTGGTTCTATCAAGCCAAACCTCTCGTTCAGCTATTACTCATTGTTCTGTACCATCCCAAAGTTTTTCATGGAGCAATACTCATGTTTATAACAGTTGTGTTCGATTTTTGTCCTCAGTTGGCATCTTAGCAGTAGAGTGTACTCTCAGTTTGATCATGTTCTTTATTAGGGTGGCAGCTTCGAACTTAACTACAATACTCATTGCAGACGTGCCTTGGTACTACCGCTTTTGTTAGGCTTCGGTAACTGCATCCAATAGTTCTTCAAGTTTCTGTAAGAATCGTTTCAGACGCTTGCGATCCCTTTTTTAGCACGAATTCTATCTTAAAACTGAACGTTCACAACTGATAAGCACCGCTCGCGCCCGTACTTTGTTGGCGGTTGTAGTGCCACTTTTTCTGTTTTATTTATGTTTTTTTGTCATACGTTAACTAGGACATGCATTTTTCTACTGAAAATTTGATCACTAACTTCTCTTTTTTGGATCATTTACCCTTAAATTTTTAGTCAAATCTGACTTTGTGTCCGATAAAGAGATAATATCTTATTTCCAATTTTTTTATAGATACTTTTTTTTATTTTCAACATCAAGCCCAATGAAAATTGCTATGGTCTTTTTTAATTTCCTGAAGAGGAAAAGAATTATTAAAATGAAAAAACAGTTATAGATTTTTTCTTTTCAAAAATAACTGGAAAAGTATACAAAGACAACAAGTGAAGTAAGCTTATCAGCGCAGCTCCTTTGGAGCTGAAATGTGGAACTCACGTATGTGCTTTCGAGTTGTTCTCTTAATGTATTATCTGTAAACTCAAAAATAGTTTTTTTACGAATAATTATGAATGCTTTAGAAAATTGCATAGAATCTGAAGCCTTTCGTGTGCGGTTGTTGAGGTCTGTAATGGTGGTCTGTCTGTAAAGGGGGACGTTTGTAATAGGAGTATGTCTGTAGTGTTCTCTTCCCCGTTGTTATGTGTCTGTAATGGGATGGGGAGAGGGGTAGCCGGAAAACCTTGACCTTAAAACTTACACTCAGTATTTTCTTCGAAAATATACGTGAGTTCTACAATAAAATAAACGCTCTAGGGAAGGTATTGAGTAATGTGTTATATGAATGATATTTTTAAAACTAAGTGCATGAAACAAAGCTTCAACATCCAAATAAAAAATTTTAAAAGGTAGTAGGATACAACAAGAGGATTCTGTTTCATGAGGCGTAAAGAATAATACTTTTTATGACGACAATGCGTAACATATTGTTTGTTTCTGATAAAAGAATAATTAGCAAAACTTCGGTTTTATCTCGTTTGCAAGCAAAAGTAGATTCAACTCAGAATTTATGGATGAATAGCCATATACAGGATAATTTAGTCATTGAGTTTTAAAAGGCAAAAGAAATATTTCCTAGCTTAAACAAGAGACGATAAACAATTATTCACAAGTAACGCTCGTCGCCTCGATTTGCTTAGTCCTCGACTCAATAGTTAAATTTATTTGCATATCATTTTATTTTATTTCTCTGAGATAACTGGTGGTAACATCAGATGTAAGTGAGTATACGTGTTAGAATACTATGATCTTAATCTGTAATAGTATAGGTAATTTAGAATTTTAATTATTCTCAGTATTAAAATCGTCATTTTTCTCGATTGCTTATAGAGCCAAGCGTTTCCAAAAATAGTGCCGTGAAATTCTCTCTTGTGGAGCACAATGGTCAGAAAAATGTATTTACTTGTTTCATGGCTGATAGTGTGAGCAAAGATTAATCTTTTAATGAAAATTTATCAAGAAAAATAAATAATAGGTACACTCATATGCGTTATACTATTACGTCTTTTTGCGACATAAATAGTAGTCTATGTCATGCAGTGACAATAATATAAGATATATTGTTTTCAATTGCTAGTTACCACTCATATGTATGATCAACCTATCAACCATATAGATCAGTCAGAATATTTTTATATCTTATATGAAATGAGTGAGTGTGATAGCAATCATCACTGAACTTTTTATGAGTGTCTTTTCAGTCAAATTTATGCACTATTAAATAATCGAGATTATTGATATTAAAAGTTCTATAAGTAATTACATGATATAAATATATTTAATTTGCATTTGCAACTATAACAAACAGAAAAAGAGACATCTATATCTAACAAATATCATATTGAACTACAATCAAAACAAAGAAAAACAACGCTAATATATACAAGGCATTACTATAGAAAAAAACCAATATTTAAATGTATATAACATAGAACAAACACGTAAGAAAAGTATGTATTTAGAGCAATAACAGATACAAATAAAAAGAGTTTCCATGCAATACAAAAACAAAATCATTGAAACCACAGAGAAAAATGTTTTTGTGTTTCTAAATATATTTGATCCAGTCTTTCCATTTCGATGAGTTGAAATTTACTTGGTTTAATTATTAAAACCTTGTAATTGAATTGCCATAAGATAACTAGATCAACCAAACGTTTTACATGAGATAATGGTACATAAACTGCGGCAATATCTTCAGTTTCATTTAGCAGTTTAAGATCGATCACGATTTTATTCAGAGTTTGACCTTGGCTCTTGTGTGTTGTAATGCAATAAGCAGGCACCAGTGGTAATGCTCGACGTTTAATCAATAAAATTGCTTTTCAATTTGATTTTGGTTTCTTGTCTTTTGGAAGAATATCAGAAATGTTTGTTCGATTACTGGTATTGGAACAAGTTTTGGTTGAAGTTCTTCAAGATTGGATTCAATTTTTGATTTGGCAATTTCTATTAATGCATATAATGGTCGATGAATGTATTGTGTATTATTTGGAAATATTTCCGATAAAACATCTGTTGATACAGAATCTGTCTGATAGACTAATTGTCGAAAGATTCCATTAATACCATTGATAAGACCAAGTTCAATAGCAATGTTTCGTGTTACAATAGCAGGCATTCCAGGAACAAAAGGTAATAAACCAGGTAAATGCTCTGTCTTGCTATCAGATAATTCCAATAATTTTTTTATAAGTATAGGATCTTCAATTGGTTTGCCATTACAAGTGTCTTGAGCGGCGCATACCATCGGGACGTGGCCTAATTGAGCTGCATTGTGAATTGCTGCCTTGTTGTTCAATTGTGTTCGTACTTCATTTCGAAACACAAGGATCGGAGCCTAAATGAGACAAATATACACGTTTGTATCAAAAGGAAAAGAAAACTTACTTTATTCCATGGTGAATTACAGAGGGAGCCTACTGATGGTTGCCCAACTACTTGTGTCAGCAATAATTCATAGTCGTCATAATTACATTGTCCATGACGAAGATATTCGAGTAGCTGAAGGTACCGTGAATCTTCTGTGCACATCTGTTGAGTAAGTTTTACCACGCAGTTAATTTGAAGAATTAAAGAACGTGCAACACGTTGTTGAATTTCTTTTTCTGTGGGTAGTTTACCCAATTTCTCTTTGGATGGTAATGAAAAATCAGTGTGTAATGGTGCATCATGTACAGGTCGATATTGTAAGTAATCACCAAAGAAGATAATGTTTACACCACCGAATGGAACTTAGAATCGACATGTTTTGCAGTTGAAATAATTCGGTTGAGTTTTGCTGGTAGAGTTAAACCAACCATGCTCGTCTCATCAATTAAAACATGTTCGACTGATCTCCATTTTTTCTCAAGTTTTGAGTCATCCAGTTTAATGGTTCGTGGCTTTCCTGAATTGCGTTGTTCACCCAAAAATGAATGAATTGTCATTCCATCTATTTCAGCAGCAGCAATTCCAGTCGGTTCAAGCTTCCTCATCATTTGCATTCTTTTTGTGACGAGAAAATATTTGGTAAGAGCACGAATAAGTTGCGATTTGCCTGTTCCACCACAACCAGGTATGCACATTATGAGTTGACCATTATTGTCACCTAAAAAAATTATATATTTCGATTTGTGATAATGTGTATTGTAAAAAATACCTATGCGACATCGCTTGTCACCATCAAGATGACTTGTTATGATCATAAATGCAGCTCGTTGTTCTCTGTTTAATGTAAATTCATTAATAATACTTGTCTGAGTAGGCAAGTTATTTATAACTTTGAGCACTGGAAGAATTGAACTATAGTTTTCAAAATTGTTTGTACTATAATTATTTGAATTCATCACTGTTACTACGGCATCTCTTGCAGCATATAAATCCAATGTATCATCATCTTTGTCATAGTTCCCTATAATTAAACTTCGTCTAACTCGTTCTTTCTCGATCTTCAACTGTTTTTGTCATTTTGTATTGAGTTGAACAAGATGAGGTGTTGCACAAAGGACCGGCATAAGTTGTCGATTAGTACGATCAATTGATATATCTGAAGAAGATTTATAATGCACTACAATAAATTTTTTATCATTATTTTCAAACTTGTTACTGATATAAAAATAATACTTACTGGTCGTATGATTAAATCGTCCAACGTTCTCGACTGCTTCGATAGTTTCTTCAATATATTTATTTTCTGTTGTTTTTCTTGTGGCATTGACTGCAGCAGTTGTATATTCATCTAAATTGCCTAATAGCTCAAGTAAGTCATCGCTGTCATCCATATCGTATTCGCCATGAACATCATGTTTTGCTGGCAAAAGTACAGGATCGATTGCATCATTGTCGACTTGGGCTTCAGCAATAACTTGAAGTTAATGCTCATCACAGTCCTTTTTGCATTCGTGGACAAGTTGGATATTTTCTATGATCTTCCACGAATGTACAGAAATACGATGTTGCCGAGATTCGAAGGCACCTTCCCTTGTTTGATTGGCACCACAGAGATCAGTAACCGTGCACCAGGGCACGAAGAGCGTGAGAAGAGCTCGACTGTATCGTTCTCGAGTGTCATCACGATCTCGTTGAGGAATTTGTGGACCGTAAAAAATAGGTACATGAGGTTGACTATATTTCATCATTAAATGTGTTGTTGCCTGTGAATGCTGTTGCTAAAAAGGAAAGGGCTCATTGTGTGGTCGACCTTTTCGATTAGCATTTTTTTCGACTGATGCTGCAGATTCGGATGAATACTTGAAATCTGATGTATTCATTTTTTTTCTTATATAATGTGCTGACGAAGTCGTATAAACACATATTGTTGAGAGTATCGGATCGGCATTGATAATCAATTCTTGTATTAACAAGGACGAAGCTATTGTCATTTTCATTCGATTGAATTTGAAATTGTTCTTCATCATTGTTTTCATTGTCAATAGCTTCATCATCATATGCGTCATCGTCCATTATATCTGACAAATGAAAGATAATACATTATATTTGATTCAACTATAATATTAAAAACATACCGCATGTTACAATTTTCGACTTCTGTTTGGCACGTATTTCATTTAAGTGAGTTTGTAAAAATCGTTCAGTTTGAATTAAAAAGAGGCCTTGGAACTTGTGTGTTGTATAATGATCATCCCAGTTCATCAGATAAGATGCAACTTGAACTCCAGATAATTCTTGTTGAGAAGCAAGTGTATTATAACAGCGTAAAACGAGTCTACGCGACTTCTCGATTGCAGTTTCTTTGTCTGGTTGATGGCATGAATTCTAGAACGCTGTAATGCTTTTTTGTACAAGAGCAAATGTATCATGAAAAGAAAGACTCATTTTTGTCACATAATCGGTAATATAATAGATAAGAGTCTTTGCATCGCTTCCACTCCAGATAAATTTAATATCCATGTTGGATCGACAGGCTGCGATGAGATATTCATTAAAATTTGTGATTAATGGGCCGGATCTTCGCATAGAAATGTGACCTGTATCAGGATCAATTGTTGAAATTGGTACCAACTTGCATGGCATACGCATCCGACAACTTTTCTTATCACCTTTATTAGCATTCCAGTATTTATAGCAAGTATCACTAAGTTTATGAATATTGCTTGCTTCAACAAGTTGTACTACATCTGTACGAAATCGTGATGCAAAATTAGGTAACGATGGATTTAGAGTTGGTAAGCAAGCTGGAATCACTTTTGATTCATTATACGAAGCATTAATAACTAAAATATTAAATAATCCTTTACTTTTCTTCTATGATTACTATACTTACCAAATGTTGATTGATTACGTGTTGGTGTTTGTAAAAGTTTATTTGGCAATGCAGACACATGTAAAATCGATGAAACAAATTGTTCCTTCAACGGTGTTGATATAATGTTGTTGGGTCCATATATATTTTGTTGTAAACCTGTCAAATCCATTGTACTTAAAGCTGCATATATGTTATCTCGGGATAATCGTGGTGGCGTATTCCATGATCTTGGCACTATAACATAAACAAAAAACAATATTTGAATATAAGCAAAGATTAAACTCTTTATACCATCTAAATTTTCGAAGACAGGTTTGTTTTTGATTCATCTAAATCTTCTTTGATTATATCTTCTAGATATGCTTCCAATTTTTCACGAAAATCAGCATTTTGAATTTTGTCTTTCATATCAGCTGATTTCATATCATGATCAAGCCAAATAAGAAGATGCAAATGAAGGGAACCTCGTCCTTGACTTTCAACGGTACCAAAGTAAGCTTTTATTGGGCCAAGTACACCACCAACGATCATAGTATCTAAGATATTACTGATCAATAAATGGAAATATTTGGCAGTAGCAATAGGATGAGATGCTATAATTTCAGCTCTTTTGTAATTATCCATAAGTTGTTCCATTTGAATATTGTCCAAATCAAACTTGACGCCAGCAAAATATAATGCCACGGGACTGTGAATATCAGCTGGATTTAAAGTTAAAAGAATGCTTGGTAATCCCTGATTGTAGATTAATGCATGAATGCGTGTACATAATGCCGTACGTGAATATGCTGAACCCATAACTCGACCACCGATGGTTTTAATATGATGTAATAATTTATTTAATGCACTGCTGGATTCCGAACTATATGTTTTTTTGGAAATGTTATCGAGCGCTATTTCAATATCTTCACTTTTCAAGGATTGAATTTCATCAGCAGATACTCGAAAGTAAGGTTTTGTTGCGATCAGCTGAACATGGAAACAAGCATCACATCGTTGTAATAGATTGAAGACGACAAATATAAAACTATGGTTCGTTTCAAAACGTCGATCATTGTACGATAACAGATAACGCATGTGTTCTCGTAAATTTACTTTGACTGGACGCGATTGATCTTCAGGTGTTCCACGTCCATAACAGAATAAAGTTGGATACAGACCTACGAATAGTTTTAAATTAAAATATTCGTCAACAGGCTTCGAAGAATGAGGAATCAAATAAACACTTTCGGTGTCCATCTGTTCCTTTGTTCCGTCATTTTTAATTTTGTGCAAAAGATAATCAGTAATTTCATTTGAAGACACTGATGAGCCGTTGACATCGAGAACACCACTAAAAAAGAAAAGATTTGTGAAACAACTAATTTATTAGCTGCTCTTACCTGTTACTAATAGGAATACTATCTGTAGTAGTGCGTTCTATTAGGTTGGATAATGAGTCAGGAATATATCCAGCTCTTTCAGATTGAATTTCTTCATCATCTATTTTCTGTTCTATCATTGACATAATACATTCTGGTACATCGTCTTCAGTTAATTGAGCAATATCCTTCAGATTTATATCGACATTTTGATAAAGTACGTTATGTTTCTTCAGCCAACGTAATGCTTCAATAATTTTCTTCTTGCGTGCTGTGAGCACTTTTTTAAGTTGAATGCGTTCAGGAGGATGAGCTCCGACGAAAATTACTTTAAGTGTATCACACAGATCGTCAAGTGTAAGTAGTAAACTATTAACAATGTTTGGTACATTTTGAAGAAAAGTGATATAGTTGCCTTTCAATGCTGTCTGGGCAATTGTAGTGGAATGGAAAGGCGAATGAAGTTTTATTGTACAGCTGTTGTGACGATAGAGTGATATCAATTGTTCTTCTGGAATTATCAATCCTTGTAATTTAGAAAATGCGTCACCTAACCACATATTGTTGGTAGCTGAAAATTTAGGAATTTGTCCCGTCGACAGAGAAATATGACATTTTTGGCAGAGCGTGCACATGTTCACCTTGTTTTGTTGAAATAAACCATTGGTATACAAAACAACACCCTTATCATAATGAAATGATGAAGAATCGAAAGTTGAAGGAACTAGAATAGTCAAAGATTCTATATAATGTCTCAAATCACAGTAATCATATGTTACTTTGAATATTTTGAAGAATTGCTGTGCTGCTGCTGTCTAAATGTTGTGATAACGATGATGGACCATTAGTAATTAAATTTTTGAGCTCATTAGAAACTTTAAGTAAATGGATATTAGGAATTTTTCAGAGTGGCACTTTTTTTGACTGTTGTATTGGAGTACGAACGTTGCAAATTGCACCAGTAGCTCCAGCCAGTACTGACATGAACATCTGTTGAAGAAACTGTTGCAAACGGGTCTCTTTTAATTCACGAGGAATCGATTCAGGCCAAGAGCAATAATTTAAGTCGTTCTTTTTCTGTATGACGTTTTCATTTGTGCTACTATTATCCCAAGATGCTTCTTCTTTCGTTCCACTAAACTGCATCTCGATATTTTGTCGATGAATGTCAGTGTTGTCAAATATGTGTTTTAAGATTCTTCTTCGCTTTGTTTGCTTGGCTTCATTTCCTTTGCTTCTCAAGTCGAATTTGACGTTGTTGTTCTGTTTCATTTGATCGATTCGATTGAGTTAGTGTTTTTTGTTTGTCAAGTCGAATTTAACGTTGTTCTGCTGTTTCACTCGATTGGTTTCGTGTTTTTTGCTTTTCAAGTCGAAGTTGATGGTGTTCTTCTGTTTCATTTGATCGACGAGATTGATCTCGACGTTTTTGCTTTTCAAGCCGAATTTGACGATGTTCAGTTGTTTCGTTCATTCGGCTAGACCGAGCTCGTTCTTTTAGTGCATCAAGCTGAACTGGACGTTGTTCTTCTATGCCATTTTGACTTTTTTGTACTACACTTGAACTGATCGATTGAGTGTAGTACGTTCCCATATTATCGATATGTCGACGGCTGTTAGGAGAACATTCAAATTCAGGACTTCGTATTCGAGTAGGAGTATTATTCTTAAACGTTTTCTTTTCAGGAGTCTAAATAAATTTCAAAATTTCCAGAGAAGCAGTTACACATAAACAACTTACGGTAAACTTTGGTGATTTATTTCCATATTCAGATGTGTAATGCACTGCTGATGACAGAAGAGGAACAAAATGATTGGGATTCCATACATTATTATTTGAAGCTCGTGCATCTATTTCGTTCAAGACGTGAGACCATAAAATTGTGATGCCACAGTTGGCAATAACAGGTGGAGCTTCTGTAAAGAGGTTATTCATAATTGCCAAATCCTCTCGAAAATCAATTTTTGCATAGATGCTTCGTATATTACATTTAAGTACATTGCATAATGCACTAATTTCATACAATTCTGAAAATGTGTTATTTTTGCACATAGCCTTGATAATAAATGCGACACACCCGACGAATTGTGAATACATACTATCATAATAAGTTTCATTTGTCATAAGTTCGATAATTGTCCGAACTAAAAATTATATTAAAATAGATTATACAATCATATAAACGAAAAATAAATCTACAGGTTGATTACGTTATTTTTGCTAGTTTTGTGTCGTTTGCTGTA